TTTGTGCTATTTAAAATACCAATGTTTTGTTATCGATTGTGCAAGAGGTGATGAAGGAGGATTCTTGCTCGAGTTTCAAAGAAACGTACATTTCTTCGTCTACAAATAGAAAACAAACAATAGAAAAATTAGCTGTGTAAAATACTACAGACTACAGCTTTGGGAAAAAACTTCAGTATAGGAAAAAACTTCATCATAGGAAGAAGCTTTGATATAGAAAAAAAAAAATAAGAAGACGCGAGTGCAAATTAGAGGATGTTCTGCAATAAGAATGAAATGTCTGATATTTTGTCTCTTCTACAAATGAAATCTTTGTGCTCAGTTTACAGTTTAGTAACGATATTATACAGGGTAATCTGTTACCTATTGAATAATTTACAATAAGAACAAGAAGGTGGTAAATGTATAGTTTACGAAGAAGAGATAATAAATAATACAGTTTAAATATCTACAACCATAAATAATGATGATAACGATAAAGAGAGTCAGAATTAAATAGAGGAAAAAGTAAGAAATAACAGGATTTAAAATATGGAAACTAATTAGAGAATATGTATATAAAAATAAAGACTAGTGTAGAATACATTTGGAAGAGGAAATGGAAACCATAAAGAAAATGCAGCCCGTCTAAATGGTTGCAATAAGTGAAAGAAAACTCCATGAAAGGAACGATACACAACTTAGAAAATTATTATTCCAAATCCTTGAAATGAAGGCGGATAAACACTGTAAAATGCGAATATTCGTTCATCTTACAAAAATATGTTTTATATTATTTATATCAATAATATTATTAAATAAAAGAAACTCATTTTAAAATAAATTGTGGTGTTATTAATCAGAAATATTTCAAGCATTGGGAACCAATCTATTTAAATATAATAATGCTTAGTCTAAAAGAATTAGAAACTCGTATGTCAACAATAGCGGCAGATTTCAAGACGGAAATAGCTGACTTTAAGAAAAAAATTACAGGTGGAACAAATTAAAAATGTAATAAAAACTATTAAGAAAGAAATAGACATTTAAAAATGTAATTTATTAATCTTAGTATATACAAAAATCAACATTAGAGTCAGTAAACAAGAATTAAATTATTGTCACCGTCTTGGCATTGTATAAAGCCTTCTTGTTCTTCATCAGTTACTTCCATGTTTGAAATTCTTGGTAAGTTTGTATTTTTATATTTATTGCTATTTTGTATTTTTGTATTTCTCTATTTTTAATATTTTTGCATTTCTAAATTATTTATTTTTGTTTCTATAATATACATAATATAGATATAATTTAAACAATATTTATAACTTTAAAACTCTAAAATAAAAAAACTAATATTAAAGATTGAGCACACAAACTTTGTTTGGGCGGGCCTTAATTTTTTTTTTAAATGTTAATTGTATAAGTGAATAAATTTGATTTGATTTGAAATAAATGAATGTTTTTATTTGAAATTATTAGTAAATGATTGAAATATTTATGCACAGAAACTATTGATAATAGGTCTAAAAATAGTAGATAGGTATAGGGAACCTTATAGAATTTTTAAAATAATATAAAATTTCCTTCATATTGGTACCATAAAATAGAGGGTGTTCCATTTAAATTAACGCAGTAATTAAATAAAACATTTTATTGCATTAAAACTTCAAATTGCAAACACTTCGTACATTTTTTGAAGAATATTTTAATGATTCTGATAAAAAAATTACTTTTTTAAGGAACTGCCAAAAACTCGTTAATAATTTTATAATCAAGAGTAATTAATGAATTTCGACGGCACTACATTTTCAAAAATGTCATATAAATTGGAAATTATCACAGGTATAGGAAATCTTTATTTAACTAAGTTTAATTTTAACAGATGAACTCAAAATTAAAAGAAAATATAGGGGACCCCTTTTAAAAAATATAACTTTATATTGGTATTGTAAAATTCCTAAGCCGACCCTGTCTAAAGCATCGACCTTCAGCTTGGCACCCGACTCATGCTCGAAATAACGGAGGACTGTAAAAGAAGAAGAAGAAGAAGAAGAAGAAGAAGAAGAAGAAGAAGAAGAAGAAGAAGAAGAAGAAGAAGAAGAAGAAGAAGAAGAAGAAGAAGAAGAAGAAGAAGAAGAAGAAGAAGAAGAAGAAGAAGAAGAAGAAGAAGAAGAAGAAGAAGAAGAAGAAGAAGAAGAAGAAGAAGAAGAAGAAGAAGAAGAAGAAGAAGAAGAAGAAGAAGAGGAAGAAGAACTGGGAAATAAATTGCACCCATTGTTTCACATGATAAAAACCCTTACTGAGAAGCAACCGAAGACTATTAGGTGCTGGAATTGCGGTCAAATAGGAAATGTAAACAATTCGCGCAAACGCCCAAAGAATATTACGAATCAAAAAACCGTGCCGGTAACAGTACAGGAAGGAACGGCAACTTAAACTTCTTCTTTATATCTGCCTCCTTATCAGAAGCCGTGTGAGTGCTTTCTCTGTCAGCTTCAGAAGTGTTCCTTTTAAAAAGTGCATTTGTTTGTTCTTTAATTAAGTGAAATTTACCGACATATTCATCTACTTCAGTTTCTAATTCTAACTGCTCTTCTGAGGTGTCACTCACTAGCATGTCTTCAAATATGCTTGCGTCTAAATTACGGATCTCGTCATATTTTACTTCTAAAACATTCATCAAAGCTCTTACCTCAACTAGAGGCAATGGTTTGTCTTTTAACTTTTCGTTAATAATATTAGACTGCTTGGTAAAAGAAGCTCTGCTAACTTTCCTTGATTTCTTAGCCCTTTCCATGATAAGCGAAGAAAATTCCACGGAAATTAAAATTAAAAGCTTCAATAAAAGGCCTAAAAATATTTTAGGGAAATATTTCTTTAATGACAATCTAATTTTTAACCGACTTCAAAAAAGGAGGAGGTTATCAATTCGTAGCGATATTTTTTTTTTATGTATGTTCAGCGATTATTCTTTAACAAGGTGTCCGATTTCAATGATTCTTTTTTTGTTAGAAATGGGGTATTTCAGGGGTGGTCCCATATAAATTTAGTCAAAATCTAATAATTGGGTCCATGAGAAAATCATCAAACTCTTAATTTTTTATGTATGTTTAGCGATAATGCTTTACCACCTTGTCCGATTTATATGATTCTTTTTTTGTTAGTAAGGGGGTACCTCAGGGGTGGTCCCATATAAATTTGGTTAAGATGTGGTTATGGCATCTGCACGTTTTTGAAGTCGGTTTTTTTTAATTTTTAATTTCTAATACTTGTTTTGTAAAAAGTCACAATCATAGTCATAATATTTTGTTTGTTTTTGCTAACTACTAAAACATAATAATACAGGGTATAACAGAAATTACAACGTATATCAACATTAGGGTCCTGACTGGCTACAGCTTGATTCAGATCGTTGGCCTATTGTAGATCATACTTGGGATGAACAAAAAATTAAAAACGAATAGAAGGAAGTAATTTCATGGGAGTAGATTCGCTTTATAATTTTTATAAATACTTTTCAAAGTTTTCTATAAGGTTGTCAGGATGTTAGCTTAGATGAAACGGTTTATATATAACTGTAGAAACTCAGTGGATAAACACAGTGGCAATTTAACTATTGAGGAAGTAAAGGATGCTGAGATCTTATTGTTTAAGATTGCTCAAATGGAGTCTTTTCAAGGTGGTATTTCAGATAGTACTATTAATTTTTTATATCCAGTTATAGACGATGTAGGGGTCATCAGGGTAGGAACAAATGTATCACAGAGAGAGGACACTTTAGATTTTAGAAATCCGATACTTTTCAGAAAAACACCCTGTGATTGAAAAACTTATTAGATATGAACACGAGAAAGCTTGTCATGCTGGTATACAGGTTATTTTGGGAACAATTAGAAAACGGTTTTGGATTTTAAAGACTCGTCGTAGTATCGAAGCTGTTGTTTCCAAATGTGTAATTTGCAAAAGATTTTCCACTAAAAGCATAGAAGCGGCACTAGTTGCCTTTCCTGTAGACAGAGTTAGAGACGCTGCAGCCTTTGAAGTGGTTGGAGTAGACCTTACTGGTCCATTTTATCTTAAGACGGGACAGAAGACTTGGGTAGCATTGTACACCTGTAGTGTTTACAGAGCTGTCTATTTGGAATTATTGTCATCTTTTTCAACAGAAGTTTTTATTCAAAGTTTAAGACGTTTTAATGCTAGAATGGGAAGGCCAAAGATTACTTTTAGCTATAATGGTTTGAATTTATTAAACTGAATTGGGACGTAATTTTTAGACACAATGCAATACAATAAATTATGTGGAAGTTTAACCCAGCCACAGCCGCATGTTGGGGTGGTTGGTGGAAAAGACTTGTAAAGCTGCTAAAAGAATTGTTGAGTAGGACTTTAGGGAAAGCGTCTTTAGTTATGGAGGAGTTGTGAACGATTTTATGTGATTGCGAAGCTGTTATTAATAGCCGTCCTATTTCGTGGAAGATTTAGAACCATTGACACTAGCAATGTTTATACAGGATAATAAAGAGATTGGTGTACCTGATAGTGATAAGGTAGATGCGGTTTATTTTTCTATGAGAACCAATTATCGCAGAAGGCTAAATGAGGATTTGAAAAAAAGATTTCGTAAATAGTTTTATTATTTTTACAGCGTCATGTTGCAATTTAAATCGTATTTTTTTAAATTGCAAGGTGGAAGAATGTTGCGAATCAGATTTATGTTGTTTTTGTTATATCCTGTACTATTATTTTTTAGGGTTAGCAAAAACAAAAAAAAATTATTATGACTTTATGATTGACTTTTTTACAAAAAAAAAAAAATTAGATTGTCATTAAAGAAATATTTTCCTAAAATATTTTTAGTTCTTTTATTGAAGCTTTTTCCACAATATATGTATAGATGCCTGGACAAAATTTGCACGCTTATTTTTGTTTACTTTGATTATTTTTCTACGCTTATGTGTTTAATTAAAATCCATAATAATTTATAGGTAATAGTTCAATTATTATAAAAAATGTAATTAGGTACTTAAGTACTTATACAAAACATTAAATTCTTGTAAACAAGGTCTATTTTCAAAAATGAGGGTACTGCTTTTGGTCGCTTTGATTATAAGCGTTGGTATTGCAGTTTGCGATAAATATACCACCAAATTTGATAATGTAGATTTGGATGAGATTTTAAAAAGTGAGCGATTATTAAAAAATTATGTTGATTGCGTAATGGACAGAGGTAAATGTACTCCAGATGGAATCGAACTCAAAAGTAAGTTTCAAAATATTCAATTTTAAATTATTATTATTATTATTATTATTATTATTATTATTATTATTATTATTATTATTATTATTATTATTATTATTATTATTATTATTATTATTATTATTATTATTATTATTATTATTATTATTATTATTATTATTATTATTATTATTATTATTACTTAGGAATATTGGATTAAAAGCAGAACAAATTATTTTTAGAAATGAATCTTCTTTCATTACATTTTTTTTATTAACATTAATATAAATGGCAAATAACACTTTATTTAAAATAAGGCATCTATACAGGGTGTCCCCTTAGTGTGTAATTGCTCGATAAATCAAATAAGAGTTATATGGATTTAAAGAAGGCATATTTTAAAAATATTTTTGGACATACATAATGTTACGCTTTTGCCTGACAAATAAAAATGTATATTTTTTAAATGGAAGACCCTGTATTTTATTTGTTATAGAATGGTCCAGTAATACTGTATTCAACGCTAAAATATTTTTAAAAAATATGACAGGTTTGCCAAGTACCTATTTAATTTTGTAAAATATCTGAATGATGATGCGAACCCTAAATTAAATTATCATAATTTATAGGTAGGTTAGCAGTGATTTCAAAAATGTTTTAAATACAGACTTATAAGATACCAAGCTAACGAATAGTGGTGATATAACTGCTTTATTTTATACAGTTTCTTGAAATATGTCTTAAATGTGACCAATTTTAAGTTCAATTTACTCAATTTTTTTCAAATGGAATACCCCGTATATTATTTTAGAACAAAATTTCTCATAAATATACCTATTCAAAAAGACCATCAGTTTAGCCAACTATACATATACAGGGTATCTCATCAGTGCGATTATGATCAAAAACTGTTTTATTATTGGAGATACGAAGATATTTTTAATACGAAAGTTGTAGGACGATAATTTGCAATTAATTATTCTTAAATATACAGGGTAGTCAATAAGTAAGGGGTATACTTATACGTTTTTAGACTAAACAATCTGGATAACAGATTTGGTTGTTTTCACGGGCATTAGAGAGTTGAAGTGTTTCCAGTACGTTAACGTAAACGTGAACGTCAACGCACAAAAATAATGTTTACGGTATAGTCCAAAATATGAGTTGAAGTTGTTAAACGCATCGTGACATTTACGTGTCATGACAGATAATGACAATTATTATTAGGATTTATTCATTTCCAATTAAAACAAAGATTATGTTATTTTCGTTACGTGCATACGCCAGAGCCCGCAAGCTTACGTATGTACGTAGACGTGAACGTGACGGATATTTGAATGCGCATGCGTAGATGTCAATTTTCACGTGTACGTTTACGTTCATAACATCACTTCAACTCTCTAATAACCATTTAAAATTATTGCAAAACAGATAAATTCTTAAATAACTCTTAAAGTAGACTGAACAACTAAACTAGATTTATCGATTAAAAATAGACTGCGCACCAAAATTAACGCATAATTTTAAAATTATAATTTCGGCAGCAACGAATAAATTTTTTACTTTTCTTTTGTTTTTTAAAGTTGGTTTTAGAACATCTAAAATAAAAAACATTGTTTTTTTACGAGAAGTGCATTGCAATAAGACTAACTGACATCATGAAAAAATGACAATGGAAAATTCAAAAAATTAATCTAATAGCGAGTATTGCCTCCTCTAGCGTTTATTATTGCTTGACAACGATCTTTCATACTAAGAATTACCGTTCTTATTTGACCTTGATCAATTTGATCCCAAATTTCAATCAATCGCAAAAACAGTTGATTTAATGTGTTTGGTAGGTTAGGTAGTTCTCGTAGTCGTCTTCCTACGATGTCCCAAACGTGTTCTATCGGGTTGAGGTCGGGACTTCTAGCAGCCCAAACCATGGCAGGAATCCCAACCTCCTGACCATATTTTTGCACAATTCTCCCCAATACATGGCAAGACATGCTCTTCTAAAGTGTATGTAATACCCCTTTGTGATGTAAGCCGCCCTCTATCTATCCTATTTAACGCCGTACGAGCCTCCAAATTAATCCCACACCATTACTGAGCCGCCACCATACTGTGCAGTCCCTATAATGTTACACTGTGCGTAATGTTCCCCAGGCTTTCTGTATACTCTGTTCCGCCGTCAGTAAAAAGAGTACCTGGATTCATCGATGAACAATATTCTTTCACAATCTTCATTATTTCAAACAACATATTCACGAGCAAAATCCAATCTTTGCCTTCTATGCTCTCTGGTCAATAATGGGCCAGTGGGTGCCGTTCCAGGGCGCAGGTTATCTGCGGCAAGTCTTTTCCTTATCGTGTTTTGGCTTATTCTAAAATTGTAACGATCTAAAAATTCGTTTTGTAGAGAATGACTGGTAACAAATCTTTGTCTCAGTGTACGAAGTCTCAAAAACCGGTCTAAATCAGAAGTTGTAACTTGTAACCCTTCCACGATCTTGACCGGGTCTTCTTGAGTTACTTCCAGTGACAGCAGAACGTGTTAAAACTCTTGAAATGGTTAACTGAGTGATATTAAACCATTCAGCGAGTTCAACTTGAGTGTATCCTTCTTCGCGAAGAGTAACGATTCTAATACAATTTGATTCTGACAAATTTCAATTTTCTTGCTGCTGGTGGTTCATTTTAAGGGAAAACATTTAGATCCATTTGGACCACTAGTCATTAGGAAAAAGCCAAGCTTAAAATGACATATTTCCATTGACCATGTCATTTTAAGCTTTGCTTTTTCTTAACTACTAGCGGTGCGAATGGCCCTTAATAACTTGAAAAACGCCTTTGAAGATTTAGCCAAATATATTCAAACCGAGCTAAATTGGAATTAAAATGAAGAATTGCTATTATGTTTTCATTTTACTTGCAAAAATCGATACAAACTATCAGCGTTTTTGCAGTTCTAGCGATAAATCTTTACAATATACCGGAGGTAAGAATAATTTATATATTATCACAAAAATCGAAAAATTATGCGTTAATTTTGGTGCGCAGTGTATTAAAATTTATATCGATGACTAGATCACTAAAAACTTAGAAAATCTTTTGCTGCAAAGTACGTTAATAATTTCCAAATGAACCTGATCCGTTATTAAAATTTAAAACTCTCTAATTTATGAGTTTTTGAAAAAGTTACTTAAAAAAATGTGTTTTATTTATGGATTATACCGTATTAAAAAAAAATCTCTTATATAACTCCGTTGGCTGGGATTTTTTTATTTAATTTAAATTATTTAAAATTAATTCTGATGCCTTGGTAGGATTCCCCACTCGACCAATCACTGTTGGGTTCTAATTAACAGTGCTGTTCCTAAAGTGGCGCTGGGAAACAGTAACAAAGCCTACACAGAACACGAGGCTAATAACCTTAGCAGTTGATGCCGATGACACCAAATAAAAAAAAAACTCTCTGTACTTTATTTCACAAGTGTCATTTCATATCAACATCAACATGTTGAAAGAGGATTTTTTTCAGGTTCTTGTCCTGTCAGAAATTCTACTTTTTTGTTCCCTAATGGGTCCTTGTATTTTGACCTTTATTCATTGTTGCGTTCTTCCCGGGAATGAGGGAACACTGCTAGTCCAATAATAATGGGAGATAATATAGGTACTTTAGGTTTTAATTCCCTTCTTTATTGATAATAAAATCATAGATTATAAATTTTTAATGTCAAGCACCATTGCATTGCAACCGTTTGCTCTGCGCTCAGTTAATACTAATGCTATTTAACGGTTATCGGTCTTCACGCGTCTGACTTTTAATAATATTCTTGAATTTTATTTCATTATCTTAATATTAATAAAGATTCCTTGTATTTAATTTATATCCATATTCCCTTTTTAAATTAAACTGTGTTTACAAATGTATTTCTTTTTCTAGAAAATTTACCGGATGGCTTACAAACCGACTGCTCGAAATGTAGTGAAAAACAAAAAGATGGAGCCATCAAAGTTATTAAATATTTAGTAAAAAACAGACGACCGATATTTGATGAATTGTCTGATAAATTTGACAAGGATAGAACCTACTTGAACAGACACAAAGAGGAATTTGAAAAAGAAGGAATCAAAGTATAAATACGTAACTTACAGCATTAAAATATTTTGTTATATGTGTTATACCTTTTTAATAAGTTGTAGATTGTAAGTCTTTAAAAAAACAAATTATAATTATTGGAATAAAGATCACATTATTTTGATAAATACTTGTTATTGTACAGGGATTAGAAGCTTTCACACCTACCTAAATGACCCAAATCCGTTTGTTATGCCACAATATTTTTGGGTGATAACTAGAGTTTCCACCTTTTTGAAATGCAAATAAAGGACAATGGGTGGCGATAAAGATCCGCTCCAAATATTTTCTAAAAAAGAGGTCCTCATGTTGTTTTAGTTGTTTTAATAAGCTTTGAAAAGTCACAAGGACAGGACTGTAGGTCTACTATTTCAATGACTAATAATCGTGTTTGGGGTTGCACAAAAAAGCTTGGAGAGCTGCAAAAAAAGCTTGGAGGCAGCAAAAAAGCTTGGAGGACCGCACAAAACATCTTGGAGGGCCACAGGTTGAGTATGGCTGATCTAGAGTAAAGAAACTAAACGTTGCCTCATTCCTCAAAGAAATACTCATTCACCAAGTGCTAAATCACATACAATATATTTCCCTCAGATCAAGGAAGTCAATACGGAACAACAACAGCTGTGTATGGTTTTTTTGGTTGTTATTTATTTAATATTAAATAAACACTTTTTACTTAGACTATTCTTTATTTTGTTATGTAGGCACAACTAACAATAATTAATGAGTCAGCTTTAGTTGAACATGCACCATTACATCGCATAGAAAAAATGTACGGAGTGTAAATATAAGAAGAACTATCTCCGTTTGAAAAAAGAGTCCCTCAAAATGTATGAAATTAAGATGGCGTTATTGTACCAGAAGGACGCCGAAAGTGGTGACAGTCGATAATTTAGATTACACAATCACACCAAAGATATCTATAGTTTTATATAGATTGCTCACCCATATCTTGTAAAGTTGTGGTTATTTTAGTTGTTAATGTAATATTTGTATTTTTTTTATATATTTTATGCCAAATGTTGCTCTGATGACAATGACACGACTCCACACGGTTGGAATAGAACCTGATGTAGGATATGGAGAAGGCGAGACGTCGCTTTTGGCAGGATAAGCTCGATACGCTCCCACTGCTTCATACGAACATGGAATCCATATTCCATAAGCCATATAAAGTTATAACAGAACAAAAAGAAGAATTGGAAGTGACAGATACGTTTCATATCTACACCGACGGTTCTAAAACAAAACAATGCTCAGGCTGTGGAATATACTCCAAATCCTTAAACCTAAACATAAAGTGGGCTGTTGATCCAACTCACTCACCCAAGGATCTGTACAAACTTGTACAAGGTACGCAGGTGACAGAGTGGGTGCTATGAACTAACATGGGGTAAAACACAATAAGCCAATAGGCTTCAGTGTTATTCGGAGACATAGTCAGACGAGCCCAGAAAAAAAATAGTGGATTATGAACAATAGTCCCAGTGTAGTTTCAACCGAGCTCATAGGGATTCTCACAGCAGCAAAAGAAGTTACTAGAAACAATATCACTGAGAACATGCTTTTCTATAGAGATATCAGACAGGCACTAATCAACCTGGACAGAACACGAATTTACTCAGTTACTAGGGGAAATGTGGATATAGTGGACATCCTAAGATTCAAAAGTCCCGTGATTTGAAATACAGACCAATATTATTATGAAATTAAGTACGCATTGCAGCTCAAACATTATTAGAGCCATAGTAAAAACAAATAAGGCCCCAATTTAAATTTTTTTATTATTACAAAATATTTTGCAAAATATTAACAGATGACCCCTTTACCCCACACAGCGGGGAAAAGTGGACACCTATATTTTGGGACAAAGTGACCGTGATAAAAGTATTCTAAACAATCTCACATCTGATAAAACAGTACTTTAGCATATTACGCATATAATTCAGCTTAAGAACATAGTTCACATGTAAACACATCGTCGTCCTCATCGCATCTACACATTCTTCATGTGCCCATCTTTTGCACACTGAGCAGCATATCCAGCGCTCCCCCTTTTTGGATTTTGAGAAAAGGCTTGAGCAGTAAAGAGAGTCGACATCTTCCTGCGCATCATCGTCACTGCTGCTTGTGTCATCTTTCTTTCTCGGAACCTTGGTTTTAGTCTTCTTACTACCAAAAAGTTGCCTTTTAACTGCTTCTGGTGTTTTAGATTCCTTTGTTATTTCCAGCTCATTCTTATAAGGACTGTCTGTGATTATTGTAGTAGAACCTCTTTTCCTATTATTTATCTGCGTTTCAGTTATATATTTTGAAATCGGAACGATGTCTTTTGGACTGACGAGTAACCCCGAGCAGGTTGGTCCACTATTTTGGATATCATTCATGTTTTGATCAAAAGATCGTCTGTTAGTTTACGAGGTTGAAAGAATTGGATCTGCTATACCATTTGCTTGGTTGCCTTCATCATTTGAGTTTTCGTTCTCCGAATGATCTTCTCTGACTTCAATATTTGTATCAGTAACTTCAGCTGCAGCAAAATCTGAATCACTGAACACATGCGGATTATAGCTCTTGTAGGCACTGCTGCTCGAAGATACGGTTCTTCCTGGTTTATTCTCAAGATATTTTTCGATCTCTTGAACATAAAACGTATTTAAGGGCCCCATAAATGCCACATCAAATGGCTGTAATTTGTGACTACAATGGGGCGGCAGATACAGTGCAGTCACGAAATTATCCCACGCCATATTGATAAAAGTTTTTTGTATGTGTAACTTGCCCATCTAGTATTAACAAGCAAGGGTCTTCGGCTGTAGGCTTCGCATGCTTAAGAAAATGCTTAAAACCACTTACTGAAAATTTCCAGCTGCATCCAACCTGATTTATGACAGGCGAATTCAGTACCAGGTGGAACTCCGTCCATTAACTCTTCTTTTATTCTTACACTAGGAAAACATATCATTGGGGGAATGAATGAGCCACCAGCAGACATGCAAACGACAACTGTTAATAAAACTCCTCTTTCTGCAGATGTAAGGCTACCCACTTGTTTTCGGCCTTTTAGTGCAAAAATTTTGCTCGATTTAGACTGTATTGTAAGTCCCGTCTCATCTACATTAAAAACCCGCATAAGTCTGTATGGGAATCGACTAATGCAGAACTCTTCTTTTGAGAGTATTTCTGGGAACATTAAAAGTTTTTCTGGCTGTTTGGAATGGCATATGTTGTTCTTTTACGGCTTTGATTGCTTGTGCCATATCCTCAGGATCCCATAATCCCTAGTGTGAAGATCTCATACTTCCTTGGCATTTTCTGGAAATAAGTTTATAAGTTTACAACTAATAAAAAATTGATGATGGGTTAAAGTGGCCACTCCAATATTTACACAGGGTATAGTGGACACTTTCTGGCCACTTTAACCCATCTTGCAACTAAAATCAACAATTCTCCACTTTAACGCAAGGTATCTCGAAAACTAGTCATAGTATCGGATTTAAAATTCATACCTCCTAAAACGACATAAAAATTATTATATATTGAGAAAATGGTTACATTTGATGGGGGAAATTTTAGAATAAAGGTTTTTGTACTTTTCTTAATATAAAATACCTTCCAACAAATAAATCAACTCGTATATTTTGAAGCTTAAAGTACAGGGTTTTGAATTAATCGTTAAAAAAATAATTTTATGTTGTGGTTCCCTCTATAAAACACCCTGTATAAGAAATTTGTACTGTGCAATATTTTGTCGTCAAAATACCATATTGAGTAGTACTTTTTGAAAATATGCTTCTCTGACCGCACAGTAGAATTAGTGTGATTTGACAAAAACTTCATACATTTTTGACACCCTCTAATTATACACATTTTTAATTGTACGTATATACTAATAATTTTCTAAAACTCATAGTAAACGTGTGTAAGCATCAGAAATTCCCAAAAACTGGGCAATTTTTAACTTTAACACCCCGTATATCGAAAACTAGTCATATGATTCAGTTGTGACCATTTACACTTTTGATTACTAGGTTGACTACAGCACCATATCAAAGTTTCAGAAAATTTGACGGGTCGCCACTTTGCATAAGAAAAGTGCAAGGTCCTTTATTGATATAAATAAACATTATAATAATTTTACTATTACTGTTATTTTATCATATTTAAGGTCGGTGTCACAATTTCAATGATGTTTGTTGAGAATAATTATTAGTATATTGCAATCGATGATCTTCATATTTCCCAGTTTCTTTTCTTCAAATATTCTTATCTTGTACTTAACAAAGAGTAGGAATAATCTTGATTGAACCAGATGGAATTTTAATATTTAAAATAATTGCTGTTCATCATAATTACAATTTTTTCTAAACGGGCTTAAATATAGGTGTGTGAGAAGCATCAGCAGCAGCATCAGAATACGAATTATGTACTTTCTCACACCGATTTATAATTAATACAATTAATCGAATACAAGAACGTTTTTGGTTAGAAAAAACAGAAGACAAAAGTATGTCAGAGAAACCCATTCGTACGATTTTATTATAGAAATAAAATATGTAAATCTACCAACAATTTTTTTTAAAAAATTGCCCATAATTATGAATCTAGATCAGAATGCCTCTCAAATGGATGCATCATTTAATGCAGATAATGAATAGCAAATAAATGATAATTGAATTGAAATTATTGACCTCTTTGCGGAGGAAGTAGTGCATTCTCAAGGTCAGTTGTATTTTTGTGCAAAGCACTTCCTTATTTCAAGTCATAATCATAATCCTTGCAAGAGCACCCACTCGAGAAATTATCATAGAAATTAGATATGGGTTAAAGTTTTACATAATAATATGCAAATTGATCTTTGGTTCAAATAAAAAGTTTTAAAGTATTTTTACAAGGATTATTTGGTTATCGACGTCTGTTACACAGGATGAAGATATTTAAAAAGTTAATAAAAATTTAAAAAGACGTAGATGAAATACATGGAGACGAGCCATTATCTAATAAATAAAAATAAGAAGATGAGAAGGTAAATTATCCATTTTCTTATGGGGCTTTATCGGATAAGAAAAAATATGAAGTCGTTTATGTAGGAAGTTGCCATAATATAAT